GTGTGTGTGTGTGTGTGTGTGTGTGTGTGTGTGTCACTAAGAAGCTCTAAATCTGTGACCAGTTAACTTATATGAAAAACTTTATTGAATTTTCAAAGCACCAAAATTAAAGAGTTTTAGAAAAAGACCAGTTTCTTTGAATGCGAATTGATCTCACAACATTTTTCCACGACTCTGAAAAATACAGTAAAACAAATACATTTACTGCGGTAACACAAAAAGATTATTTGGCTCAAGTGATCTCCACAGAAGGTACGGAGCCTGTGAGGGGACATGGGAGTGACATGAACTCAGAAAGTCAGGCGTATAAGTGGAACTGACCAACCAAACACAGGAGGCGAATGAAAAAATGTAAGTGATTTTATTTATAGGTGCAGGGGAAAAATATACAAGTCCGGATCTGAAAAAAAGGGGAAGAGTCCAGGTGAGTCTTCTTCAGCAAAGATTGGATCTTGAATGATAAATATTTTAGGTAATGAAAATCCTTTTACAAGTTTCTGAAGAACGAGTCAACTTAGAGGTGAGGTTTCCTTTGTCAGGTAAAATGTTTCTTCAGGCAGAGTGGCAAGACCACAAAATCTTCCTTTGTTCCTTTAGGTGATGATCCTGGGTAGACCAAAACTCCAGACGACGTAATGGTGAAGGTTTCCTTGAACAGCAAAAACATTAAGGTAAGTAACAATAAACTTTAAACTTTCAATAACTATTGTAGGCTTAAGCACTACCAAAAACGGTGTTATGCATCAGCGAGGACTCATCCGTCTGGAGACACTTTTAAAGCCCAGGATGTCATCAGGGTGATTGCACGCAGGTGGTGCAATTAGGAGCAGGGACCAAGCAGAATGCAAACACCTAAACCTCCAATCATCACAGTACCCTCCCCCGAGGATTGCCTCCTGGCAATCTCATACACTTCTCAGGATTGTCCCTGTAGAAGGTGGAGATGAGGGAGGGATCGAGGATGAGGGCTCTTGAGATCCACAAGCATTCCTCCGGACCATAACCCTCCCAATCGACAAGATACTGTAGACCACACCCACGTCATCTGACATCCAGGATCTTGTTGACCATATAGGCTGGCTGATTGTCGATGATTCGGTGGGGCGGAGGGAGGTTGGAAGGAGGGCTCAGAGGACTGTTAGAAACTGGCTTAACCTGGGACACATGAAAAGTAGGATGTACTTTCATAGACGAAGGGAGTGAGAGACGTACCGCAGAGGGGTTTATGATGCGTTCTACCGGAAATGGTCCAATGAACCGGGGAGCCAGCTTTCAAGTAATGTCCTTAAGTTGAAAATCCTTAGTTGACAACCACACTTTTTGACCAACTCTGTAGGAAGGTGCAATAGAACGATGCCTATCAGCAATTCTTTTATTTTGTTCAGCCGTCCACAAGAGTGCCTCCTTGGTTTGCCTCCAGAAACGACGACACCTGCGGACATGATGCTGGACAGACGGGACTGCACATTCTGTTTCAACACTGGGAAATAAAGGAGGATTATAACCCAGTGAAGCTTCAAATGGTGACAYACCAATGGCAGAGGATGTATGCGTGTTGTGAGCATATTCAATCCAGGTTAGATGCTGACTCCAGTTAGAAGGGTTACTACTCACAACACAGCGCAATGAGGCCTTCAGCTCGTGGTTGCTTCTCTCGGTTTGTCTGTTGGACTGGGGATGGTACCCAGACGAGACTTACAGTCGTACCTAGGGCTTTGCAGAATGYCTTCCAGACTTGAGGTACAAACTGTGGGCCTCGATCAGAAACAATGTCATTTGGTATGCCATGGATTCTCACAACATGCTGGACTAGCAGGCGAGCCATCTCCATCGCTGTAGGGAGTTTGGGCAGAGACACAAAATGTGCAGCTTTAGAGAAACGGTCAACTATAGTCAATATGACAGTGTTACCTTGGGAGAGTGGTAAACCGGTAACAAAATCCATGGCAATGTGCGACCATGGGCGACCAGGTGTAGRTAATGGTTGTAACAGTCCAGCAGGAGGTCGATTACCACTCTTATTTCTGGCACAAGTTGGACAGGCTGCCACAAACTCCTTGATGTCGGCTGACATAGAAGGCCACCAAAAGTACCTTGAAGCTAGCATAGTCATGTGAAAAACCCCAGGGTGGCATGAAAACTGACTTGAGTGTAACCAGTCCAACACCTTGTCTTTAACAGAAGAAGGTACAAAGGTCTTACCAGGAGGTCCSCCCCGGGTCAGGTTCAGTCCTAAGTGCCTCCTGGATCTCCTTTTCTATGGCCCATGTGAGGGATCCTACAAAGCATGTAGGGGGAAGGATGTTGTCCTCATCCTTAGGACCCTC